AGTTCTGTATAAAATATGCCAAGAGAGGAAAAGACAATCTGATTGTACAATATCTTTTGATTGCTAATGCTAGCAGTTCTCCAACTAGCTGTTCGATAATGGTGCAATATTGTAATGCACATTAGTCAGTAACAACAAGAAAGTTTGACTGAGTGGATGGGTGGGCAACAAAATAAAACTATCATATAAATGGTTTGGACAGAAAAAACAAGAAAACAGAAGAGAAAAAATATAGAAAGGAAAAATATGAAAAGATTACGTGAAGGACTATTTTGTGTGACACCAAGAGAAGTAATACTATATAATCAGGATAAAATGCTTGCATGGATAATGTTCTCTTTCCATTAAATAGCTATTTCTATTAGTAGCATTAAAAGATGCTCAAAAGCAAATTAGGTTTATATACTAAATATTATATATTTCCTAGTAGCAATTTCTTTCATTTCCTGCAAATGAAAGGAAGTTCCTAACTGAACAGGATTGCCTACAAAATGCTGAATAGGGCTTTCAGTATTGTGGTGTTTATTAACTTCAACCACTTTAATATGAGTTTTGAACTCTCTAACTGGGTCTCTAACTGCCACAGCCAACTTGCCCCAGCCAACTCACCGCTACAAAGTCGCCACAGCCAACTTGCTATGAGATAACTCACCACGGCCAAGTCCCCACAGGATAACTCGCTGTAGGATAAGAGTTATACTAATATTGAAGAAATGGTGGAATAGAATCATTAAAGAAAGGATGCTTAAGACAGGACGAAATGAAATTGAATGACAAAAATTAAAATAATGTTTTAATTATTTTAAATAATCAAACTGGATTATTGAATTGTCCTGTGGCAAGTTAGCTGCAATGAATTGATTGTGGCAAGATGGATGTGGTGAATTGGCCGTGGCGAGTTGTCCCATTCCACCCAAACTCCCCAACCAGCATATTGGATGGGGAATGCTGGGAGTTCATGTTCACTCATCTTAAAGCTCTTGAAGTTGAAAAACATTGATGTATTGCACAATGCTTTATTTTGCAAAGCTGATCTTTCTATCAGTGATGTAAATCTAGGATGATTTCACCTCTGACTAAAATACCCGCTTTTCAGGAAGTTAGAGTTTGACATTGCAAGGCTTCTCCAGATGATTGGTTGAGAGGACTCGCCTATCTAAATTAATCTTTACAGGAAAATCCTATAGTTCAAGTTATGCTTATGTATGCTTATGCCATATTTACAGGCCAAACAGAATACAATACCTTTATAAAATCTGTAGTGTTTAATTGGTAAAGAATTTATTCTTCTGTATTCTGAATTTTTCCAATAAAGGATCATTGTCTTTATCTTTCAATCTTCATTCTCATATTGCAAAAGACTCCATTTCTCTTACTGCAAAATGGTTTCAAACCTATGGTGTTATGTAATATCCTACTCTATATTTCCCGGTTGTATTAGAGCAGTTGCAGAGTGTGACATATGTGACTACTCTCCAAATTGTATTTTGATAGTGATGCATCAATAGTTGAGTGACCATATATCCTCTTTTTCAGAAGGATTTCCCAGTGTCAGATCAGTTTAAAAATTAACTGTAAAAAGGAAAAGAAGAAATCATGCATCTAAACATGATAAGGCTTGGGTAGCAGACTGAAAAGGTGCGCAAGTCACAAGGTTAAGGAGATGTCTATTAAATAACTTCCTGGTTGCATGTATGTATGTAACATAAGAGCATGCAAATTTTAAGCAGATATGAGGTTTAAAAAAAAATTTTCAGAGGCAAGTGGTTCGAAATTTCATTTTTGATGTGTGCAGTTATGCCCACAGTAAAAAAAAATGACAATAAAAGGTTATGTTATCTATCTTATCTTACTATTGGTCTGGATTCTTCCCACAGAGAGTTATCTTAGAACTCCACTGGAGAATGTCAGCTCACGCTAATCAAATATTTATAGGCATTTCTGAAAAACAAAAATAAGACTGGTCATTTCAGCAAATGACCAGCTTTTACAGCAAAGCAGCTCTTTTATATTTTAAGTTTTTATTCATCATGGTGATCATTTTTAACACAGTCATTGCCATCATTACATCACAAGTACAGTTTCCAGAATTTCATAAGAAAGAAAAATAAAATAAATGAAATAAACTTGCTATCAGTTGCTACATTAGCTTTGGGATTATGTCCCAGTGAATAAATTGGAGAAAAGAGATAATTTCTGAATACACAAAGAAAATACTGTATTTTAAGCTGTCCAGAGTCACTGCTCAAGAGTTAGATATTAAAACAGGTGGCATTTAATAAATAAAAATAAAATTGGAAAGGAACACTGCAGATGAGATGTTAGTCATTAATGCAATCATGCAAAATCCCAATTATGATTAGTAACTGGGATAAAAATAATCTTCAACAGTTTACTGAAAATCTATCAAATGTAATAGTAGTTCCAATTTCTTCTGCTGTAATTGTATTTTCAGAATAGGATCTTGAAGGGTAAAGTAAGAAAGAAAATGGATAGTTTCTCCTTCCAAATAAATAGAAAGTAATGTATCTCATGAGCAGCATATTTTGGTTCTGTTTAAAATTTAAACTGACACAGAGAAATCGATAATTGTTTCTATCCATTTTTAAATTGTTTTCTCTATTACTACATCTTGTGAACTCTTTAAAGTTCCTAAAAAAATTAATATGTGTCCATTTCTCCTTATACATTTATATTCATATGAGCTTTGCTGAATTTACATGTTTTTGTAAATACTATAATAATTATTTTTACAGATATTCATATTAGGTAGTGAGTAATAAAGTTCGCAGGAATGCAAATTTTGAATATTTCTATATGTATTGATTTTAAAATGCAAAACGATTAAGATTTACAATAAAAGCAAATCAAATTAGTATTTCCAATAGCCATGTATTATATACTATTGAGTATGTAATAAATAAACTATTGAGACATTTTACTTTCCCTTCTGTTGTTGTTTGTGTTGTCTCCTTGATTGAGACAAGAAGAAAGGTGGAGTTATGATACTCCTGGGCATCAAAAAGGATGTGAGTGTTCACTGCTTGCACAAGCAGGTTGTTTGCACGAGGAATAATTTAGGAGGAGGATTAGTCAGTTATGGTAACAACTTGATTTGATCTAAAAAGGGAGGAATGGAAGAGTGATAAATTAGAACAGTTTCTCCTCTGATTAGACCTTCCCAACCTGAGGGAAGTCCTAACTACTAATCCCATCATTCTCCATAAAAGTTGTAAACCACTAAAGCTGAAGGGCATCAGGTTGGCAAAAGCTGACGTGGCATAGATAGAAGTATGAGATTTCTGAGGTGTGTGCAAATACAGGAAGCATAATTCTCCACACAGAAACACAATGAGTCAGAGCATGGTATTCTGGAGAAAGGGATAGGCATTCTTTGGGCAGTTCCATCAACTCTGATCTTATCTGTTTTCTGGACTATCTAGAGTAATTGGTTGAAAGCTGATAGGAGTAAACATTCTATATGGAACAGTCACTGTTTTGTCTTTGTGTGTGTTTGTGTGTGTGTGAGAGAGAGAAGGAGAGGGCGAGAGAGAGAAATTGCATCATTTTAAAGTCCGTCTTCTATATTACATTTGAAACATATTTGAAAGACAAAGATAATTCAGCAATTCAGATCAGCATTGGTTTTCCCTCCCTCCCTCCTCCCTCCCTCCCTCCAGAGAAATATAGACTGAATATTTTGTATTCTAGGTACTTGGCAAGCCTTCTCTTTCCTCTGGGCTGAAGTGAGAGTTGTGCAACTAAATGAACTGCATATAGATGATATAATTATTGTTATCTGTTCTTAGAAGCTGACGATTAGAGGGTCTGTCTCTAAGAGAGGCTTTTAAAGAAGGAAAAGAGAGTAAACTATGTTTAAATCTTTTCTCCACTCCATACTCCTACCACAACCATCTCTACCACAGTGCTTGTTTTTTTTCCTTTAAAGATAAATATAAGATAACTACCATGAAAATATATAGCTAACTTGATTAGAAGTATCATGGTATGAAGTGGCTCTTGAGAACCGTTGTTCTTTCAAGGGGCTATGGATATTATGGCAGGTGTTCATATCAGAGTTATTTGAAGGAAATTGCTAGTTTGGCATTGCTGGCTTTAAAGGACTGGAGTGTGTGAACGCAGCAAATTTTTGGAAAGAAAGACGGTCATATTTCTCAGTGGAGTGTCTAGGATAACTTCTTTACAGTATATGCACTCAGCAGAACATTTCAGCATTATAGGACATTGATCTTTGGATTTGGGATTTCTTCCACATTTTCTTCTAATGATATATTTAAAAACTGGCTTTCTTCTTCTTCTGAAGGTTTCAGCAGTAATTGTAAACAGCACTGCAAACTATAGTTCTTTTACAACAAGTTCTTTTATAGTGGACTTAATTTAAAGACTCATCTTGTTCAGCAATGTATTTGTTTTTCATGTAAGAGAAAGTTTTAAAAAGTTCATGTGTTTGTCCAGAGAGTTAATACTGGAGGAGATTTATATAAGAAAATTCTTGGCTCAATTGTCCAGAACTACTGTTATTTTAGAATAGTTCTTTGTACAAATTCTCCAAACATTGCAGATGAAAAGCTCAAATTATTATTCAACAACTGTCAGACAGCGTAAAAGGTGTACTTTCAAAGATCCATCAGAACACTGAAAATAGGGCAAGCTTTTAAACACAATAATACAAACCAATTTTTATCAGTCCCAATGTATTTTGAATTCAGAGCTTTTCCTTAGGAAAATAATTATTGGCAAAAAGTGATAACACAATTTAGTCACAAAATTACTCCCATGAACTTGACATGCATTAAGATTTGAGAAGTTTCAATTACATTTTAGGCACATCTTTTCCATTTTGTCAAAAACATTTGGGTTGGAACCCAAGCCAGAAAGTTGGGTTGTGCTAACTAAAAGTGAGTTAATTTTTATTCATGGATATTGTGAGTGGTGATGTCTTACTTCTGTTTCTTCCCTATTTCCTCTTTCATGTTCAGGTGTGTCTTAGAACCTACTTACCACGGGAGATCTGCAATGCTCACAGCCGTCTGTGGTTCTCTTGGCAACCAGTGCTCAGAGACACCTTGTTCTTCTCCAAGCCACTTGGAGCTGCAGCCTCTGCAGACATATCAACCTCACACCAGCCCAGAAAGTGGGGGAGATTTCCCATCCCCTCTGCAACCCACAGAACTCCAGCACTTGCCTTTGGCTGCACCTGACACGGAATACTCGGGTAACAGTGGTTACGAACTGCATGGATCTTCAAGAGTAGATCTGGACAGCGAAAGCCAGCTGCCACCCGGGTCATACTCTAAGCTTTTGCAAGCAACGCCAGATATGTCTCAGCATTATGAACCTTGGTTTAGACCTACACATTCAGGCAACACCACTGATGACAATAATGTCAACCCATGGTGGGATCTCCATGCTGGATCTAGCTGGATGGATCTTCAAAGTGGTCTCCAACCACCAAGCCACACAAGTGGTCTTCAGCCAGCATTGGGTGGCTATGGTTCTGCAGAACATCAACTCTGTGGTCCACCTCATCATCTGCTGCCTTCAGCACCACACCTCATGAATCAAGAAGTTATCAAATCCCTAGATTCTACTCAAGAGCCTCACTCAATGGAGCAAGCTGGTGATAGTAGTGGAAGGCCGAAAAGCTCAAGGCGTTCAGTGACCCGGAGCTCTGGCCAAGCTGTTTGCCGATGTCCTAACTGTCAAGAAGCTGAAAGGGTGGGCCAGTGCCCTGACAATTCCAAAAAGAAGCATCTCCATAACTGTCATATTCCTGGTTGTGGCAAGGCATATGCCAAGACATCCCATTTGAAGGCTCACTTGAGATGGCACAGTGGTGACCGTCCATTTGTCTGCAATTGGTTGTTCTGTGGAAAGCGCTTCACCCGCTCTGATGAATTGCAGAGGCACCTTCAGACCCATACAGGAACCAAAAAATTCACCTGCCCTGTTTGCAATCGAGTCTTTATGAGAAGTGACCATCTAAGCAAGCACATGAAGACACATGATGGTGCCAAGGAAGAAGCAGAAGGAGAGGCTAAAACTGGAACAGAGCTTTCTGCTAAAATCAAACGGGAACCTGAGGGAAGCGCATCGAGTGCTACTTCTCAACCTAATTGAGCCATTTTCTTTTCATCTTCTCTCAAGGATATCCAATTCTTCCTATTTCTCTATAATGGTCACTCCTGGGTCTGTAATTTGATCTTTCCTACTCATGGCTACAGGATCAATCCATCCTCTGACATGAACTTTAGTCTGTCCTTAAATGCGATGTTATTTATTTTGTAGGAGGAAAGGGTGATATTTTGGGGACAATTTGTTAAGGCCAGGCCTTTAGCAGTTTGTTTGTTTGGGAAATATAGGAAAATACTGTTAAAAGAATGGTTAAAGAGGTGGGTGGGTTAAGTGGCATCTTGAGGACAGTTACAAATGGAGGGATGTAGTCCTTGCCTCCTTTCATTTGAATGATAGGTTTCTTGTTTTTGCTATATACAAAATCACAAACATACAAAGGGTTATAGTGGAACCTCATTCTTTAGTTTAAGCTTTTAGAGATTTAGGGATTTGGATATTAACCGTCCCATGTTTGGTTCCAGTTCAGTAGGTAACATGGTAAATCCAGCTTAGTATGCAAAATGTCAACCACACCTCAGTTTAGATTTTTTGGGGGGGGGGAGGATCACGAGTAGAATTCTTGGCTTGCATCTCAGAGAGCTACCTCACTCTGTTCCCAAAGCAGAGATCCTAGACCATATCCTTACTTATGGATACAGGTGGCTTTAAAAGTAGATTAGCTTTTTTTATGGCAGTTGGTGGCCCTTGTAAATTATTGTAACATGGAATAACATAATCCAAGCTTTAAATTTTTCTGAAGTCCCAACTGAAATATAGATTTATATTTGCCTTTGGAGCTAGTGTTTTGCTTAGATTTCTATTAAAAGATAGGTTTTCTAAAATTGTTTGTATTTTCAATAAAAAATGAAGCATCTGGTCTCCAGGAGATATGACCATTTCCTTTTCTGAGAAGAAAAAAGAATGAGAAGATAGAGAAATGTGCAAATTGAAGGAATTGGGAAATGATATTTTTCCTGCCACTGAAAAAAGACACCTGAATATTTTTGGGTATAGGGCAGGATGAAAATACCATATTTTCTAATAATTAATATGCTGTTCTGTTAATATCTAGAATGCTTTTGTATGATTGGATGTTTCTTTAATTTCACAGAAATGAGAGGATTTCCTTAAAATAAGGGAGAAAATTCATGTTGTGTTGATCGAGTAGAAATGGCTAGCACTTTTTCTGTACGCACACTTTAAAAATGTATGTTTTCTCAGTCCTCCAAATCTTTTTCCCTACTTTAAGGTTTCTTTGCAAGGGAAGTATGTACTAAAGTGCTGGGTTAGGACTCAGTTTCTGATTGCCTCAGGGCAAATTCAGCAATTAAGGATGTGTTTTTGTTTTGTTTTGTTTGTTGCATTCTTACTATAGCAGATGGCAAACTAGTTCAAGCACATGAATTGGTTATAATTGGTTATTGTAAATTGAGGCTATCTTTCACTTACGTTAATACCAGTCTTGATTTCCAGCTGTATAAAAAGTGATTTAACTTTTGCTCACAGAACTGACTCACAAATTTAACCAGGTTCTACAATTAAATCAGATCTGATTTAAGATCTGATCCTAGAACAATTTTTGTTTCAGATGTGGCCTTTATGTCAGACATCATGTGCAAATTCTTGCAAATTGCTATTACGTGTTGTGCAAGCAAAATAATAGAAGCATTAAAAAAATCTTATTTGTACTTGTTTTTTTAATTTGGATAGAAATATGCAGATTTCTGCTCAGAAACTGAATGTGGAAGGGCTGCACCATACTGTATACTCTGGATTGCTAGTAATTCTTTTTGAGCCAGGTAAGTGCTTGAGGTATATTTTCACGAATGAAGGCAAATATACATGTCCCAGGATAATGTTGCAGGATTCAATCTGGGTCGGTCACTGGGACCAGAGGTTTAGTTTTCTGAGTTTTTGGACTTGTGCTGAAACCCATCCTCAGGGAGCTTCTCTCTCACCAGAATGGATGTTTTGGGCTATTCTATGCACAGTATTATGTGATGCCTGGTTGTGGGTAGTTTTTTAGTTGTTGACTGAGGTGTTGATGGCTGGTTATTAAGTCGTTGACTGCTGTTTATTTGTGCTGCCAAGTCCTTGGCTCATAAGTACCTGATAAGCTGGTGGTAAACAGTACTTCTGTTGACTGATAAAGGGCCCGTTTTCCAGGCTTCAATCATTTCCCTGGCTACTTTGGTACCTGCTCGGCAACAATCTTAGTAGTTTGCGAAGTTGAATTATGTCTTTGTTCATTGCAATGTGAGGCTACCAATCAGTTTGGGTCTCCTCGTCTGACCGCTCCCTTGTGTCTTTGCAATTTGGTGGTTCATTTTTTTCTGTCTGTCCTACATAGTCATGGGGACATTGGATGAGTTGCCCTATAAATATGATTGCCCCGTGACATGCATAGGTTGCCCTTGTGACTATGTAGGACAGATGAGGAAGAAGAGAAGATTGCAAGAACACAAGGGAGCAGTCAGATGAGGAGACCTGAATTCATTGGTAGCCTTACATTGCAATGAACAAGGACATACATTCAATTTCTTAGCTACTAAGATTGTTGGTCGAGCAGGTACAAAAGTAGCCAGGGAACTGATTGAAGCCTGGAAAACAGCCACCTTGTCAGTCAACAGGAGTCTTGATTTTACCACCAGCTTATCGGCTACTTAGGAGCCAAGGATTTGGCAGCACAAATAAACAACACCCAACAACTTAATAACTGGCCATCCATCTTCAATCACCAACTAAAAAGCCACACACAACTAGGCATTACATAAATACTGTGCATAGAATAGCCCAAAGCACATATTCTAATGAGAGAGAAGTTCTCTGAAGATGGGCTCCAGCATGAGTCTGAAAACTCAGAAGAATAAAACTCTGGTCCCAGTGAGCAAAGGTATATTTTGCACAAAAAGCAGTAATGTCCTTGTGCCCGTCTCTTAATCTCTCAGCAGACTACTTGAGCTTGCCATAAACGATAAGACTGGTTGATACTTAAAATATTTTTTAAGATCAAAATTTGGAAATGTATTTTGAACACAGTTGTCTTCACTATAACAACAGCATTAACTTCCATAAAAACAAAATATTTCTCCCAGTTTTGTAGTTTCCCTCTAAAACGTAACAAGTCCAATACTATGCCAACTGATATAGTAATTCTCTGCTAACTATATTCTATATGATAGTGAAGTTTTGTAGGCAAATCTGATTTAGGGTGATTTACTCAAGAATATACTTCAACCCACCCCCAATTTGTTTTGATTCTTCAAAGCAACTTCCTACACCTCACAATCTTACCATTTTTCTTTCTCATTAATGCCCCCATCTGGGAAGTTCAACCACACTGCCTGTTACCCAGTGGGGATTTAACACATGCACTTTCTGGCTGGTGGCAATGTTCTTGGCAGCTCCTGCCCCTTCTTCCTGCACAGTATGCTATGCATTTCATACTATTGGCAGAAGGGAAGACCTTTAAGGAAAAGAACAAAATCATGTGGGATCTCATGCAGCCTCATAACATGAAGGTGTCCAGACATGTCCAGGCCAGAAAACAAGAGAGGAAGGCAATAGCTAAAAACAATTGCTTGGGAAATGCTCATTAAAAACTTAACTCAGCTCAAAGGAAGAATCCTATATTTTTTTCTAAAAGAGGGAGAAAATATTGGCTCTTTCCTTTTAATGTACTCTCTCAGTCTCTCCAGCTTTAGCAACAAAGTTTTTGGCTGCAATTATAACACTTACAAGCAGTTGCAGTTACGTTTACAAGTTTAGATGGGCTTCATTCGTTAAACTTTAGCTAGGGATGTGCAAGTTAATGATCCTAAAAGAAGATTCTCTGCATGGGGTTCGACAAAACTTTCTTCCTATTAACCAAGGCAACTAGTGACAACAGATTTCACCAACAGAGTATGTTGCAAGCAGGGTAGTGGGAGGGAGAGAGTAAATAAAGTGGTTAATTTGAGAACTGAGTTTTAGTTTAATGGCACTCCAAAAATTAATATTGGATGAAATGTGATAAACTCAAGCAATTTATTAGCTGTTAGGCTTTTATGAGGAAATTCTTCCTAATTTTATATGCCTATGTGTGTAAGTTCTATAACAAGGACAAGACATCATGTATGTGTTGAGAGGCTCCTTAATTTTCCTTCTTGCTTGTGATAGAATGCAGATATTGAAATCAATGAGTTTATACTCCTCCCTGACTCTAAATGCCTGTAATTAAGCTAGAGATTCTCTGGGATGAGAGACAAAACATGCCCTCCTTGTTGTTGCCTTTTACTTTCAAATATTAAGTGGCACATGAGGATTGCATACAACTCATACTTTGTGCCACAATTTGAATAATCACATAAGCACCTTAGATGGTCACTCTAGTGTGATCATGAGTGTCGTATGTATGTTGTATGTTTCCTTTAGAAATGCTTTTCACTAGAAATCCTTTCAGAAGGAAACTATCAGCAAAGTTTAAGCTTATAAGATCTTTATCGTGGGATATTGTCCTGGAAGTAATCAGTCTCGGAAAGTAAAAGGCAACAATAAGGAGGGCATGTTATAAGCCTAAACTTTGCTGATAGATCCTTTTCTTTCTGAAAGGATTTCTAGTAAAAAGCATTTTTGAAGGAAACATACAACATACATACGACACTCATGATTACACTAGAATGGCCATCCTCAGGTGCCACTTAATATTTGAAAATACCTCTTCCTGCTGAACATGACCTTTGCTGGAAAAATCCTCACCTGCTGTGTACGTAGAAAAAACAAGTCCAGACTCTCCACTTCAAAATACATTATTGCTTGTCTGGCTCCAGAAATAAATTGCCTCTGTCTTTATAGATTCCTATCCTCTATTCAAAGGATTATTCCTGTTTAAGTCTGGTTTAAAAAAAATAAAAGAACAGCAGAAAAGATTGGATCTGCCCTTCCTTTAAGCAGCATATTGACTAGCAAATTGGTCCCTTGGTCAAAGGTTTCTTCGTTATGGCAAGATACAGTGCTTTAACATGATTGTCTTTATTTTAAATTTTGAATGTACACATTCAACATAGCATATATATAAGGCCTTAATAATGCAAAACAAAACAGTGTCTCTTGCCTCATTTTTTGTTTCTAAATGGCTATCGTATAATAGTGACATTTCATTTTCTGGAGAAGACAGACAGGCACTAAAGATGAGTAGGCCTACATGTCTCTCAGTATATATGCCAGGTTGTGTGTGTGCAGGAGAAACTTCATTCCTGTGTGGAAATCCCTCAAGCAATGGCTGCGTCTGCCGGCTGCATTTTGTGCAACTTGGCTTGTCCATTGAGTGGCTGCCAAATGCCTAAGACACCTGCTCCTTTCCCACACCCACTTCTCTCTCGCCTGCCACTCTCTTTGCCCCGGGGAGAGCTGATGCAGGCGAGGGGGAGGTGGGAAGAGTTCCCAAAAGCCAGAGAAGCAGGCCCAGCAAGGATTCCAATGAGATGGCCCAATTGTGTGGGGCAAAAAAGGGTGTGTTGCAGCACCTGTCTCCTGTACAATCCGGGCCTTACATTTTAATTTTAACTTTTCTGTTAAAAAGAAAGCTGAATGAGTGAGCTCAGTAGGAGGCACTTCAGCTAGTGTGTTGTAAGGATAGTTTGAGAGTATTCATTTGATACTGAGACTTCTTCCCTAATCTAGAGGGGTTTCATCTGAATTTCTTGTCCCCTGCACTTTCAGAAGATGAGACACACTGATTTTTGTAAGAATGTGACAATTACAAGCAAAATATTACTTTTTTATTTTCTTGGTCTTTCCCACCTAAAAGCTCTATTTTAAAACAAAATAATTAGCATTATGTATTAAATATTATTGCAATTATAAATCCATCCCACCCAAGTCTAAACATTATTAAATATTTGAGCAAATAACAACAATAGCAATACTTCAAATACTAGCTGTATGTCTGCAAAGAAATTAAAAGGAAGGGATGAAGGAAGAAAATAAATACAAAACAATTACAGAACACAGATTTCAAAACCTTGCTTCAGTTCTAAGTGGAAGTTAAAGCCTTGGAGTTGGTGCTGTCAAGATCTGCTGTTTACCCCAAACTTTATTTTTTCATAAAGATACATTTTTAGCCCTTGGCATTGTAACATGTAATACTAAAGCATTGTTCTAACCTTATCAGAGTTATCCTAAGTGGCTTTTTTTTAATTTAAAATAATCCCATTTACAATTTCTGGGCTGTAGTTCAACTCACTGAAGGACACCTATCTGGGTTCTTTGTTGAAACAGTTTTGCAACATCAGTTACAACAATTAACAGTTCTAGAACTGTGGTAAAAATGTGTGATAACTACTATGATAAAATAGACTGTGGATTTACCTATTTATCATCTGGAATATCTTATATGGACTAGCAATATATATTAATATTTCACCTAGATTAGTAAAACACAATAAAATATAAATGTTAAAAAGTTCTTGGTTCAAATATCAATATTTAGGCTCTCTAACCATCATTTATATTAAAAATTGTGGATTTTAAATGCTAATAGGATTGTTTTCTTCAAAATAAAATCCAAAGTCTCCAAATTCTGAAGAATGGCACTCATAATTATGGTAGCAATAGTTTCCTTTATAACTTGTTCCAGTCCAGTTTTTATGCACATAAATGTTTGAGGGGGCAAATATAGAGTAATAGGTGGAGGAATCAATAGAAATGCTGTATATATAGATGATGAAGGTTTTCTTTTAAATTATAATTAGAGGAAATATTATTAACAAGATCTGGAAATTATCTTTTTAAAAGTATCAAACTCTAGGATATTCAGTTCTAGAACAATACTTGACAAATACAATATCCTGCTTGACCTATTTTATGTATGCTTTGATCTAATGAAGTAAAGCTCTGTAAAAAATGTATCTATAATTTTCCTTGGCACAAATAGATAATGAAGGCATGTTACAACTGAATGGAATCTCCAAGCTGTAGAACCGAGTAACTGCAATCCATTCAGCTGAGTTTAAAAAACTTTCCTGTAAAGGAAATGTCTTGGTCTAGTTCTTGGATTGTTAACAAACAGAGCCAGTTTTACATATATTTTTGAAATCCCTTCCAGGGAATGGGTGGATTTTAGCTTAAAAGATGGAAAGAACTAGCAGAAGAAATATGGAAAAAAGAAATATGGAAAAAGGGGAAAAAAGAAATTAACTCATTACAGTGCAGTAAAAGGGCATTCATAAAATACTACACATTCTCCTAGTTTGGCTCTTTTTATCCCATTTCTTGCTTGTTAGATCTGAGCGATATTTTATGGATCTAATTTTCCAAAGCTTGCCTTATCATTTTTTTGTTAAAAACAGTGAAAGGAATGGATGAGTGAACAAAGAGCAGCAGGGATTATTGACAGTTGAAATATGGCACCTGAAATACAAGAAGTCCTCAACTTACTATTAGTTGCTTAGTGGCCATTTGACTTTACAATAATCCCCCAGGAGTTATTTGTGACCCATTTCCAATGGGCACTTCTCCCCGTGGTCATGTGACCACACTTTGGTGCTCAGCAACTGACCTGCATTTACAGCCTTTGGCAGCTTTCTGCAGTCATACAAGAGTCACATGACAATTTGCTTTGTGACCATCACAACTTAGAATTGTAATTATGAAGACTATCTGTATAGCTAAAGGATGCCAAACCTGATGTCCATGCAGCTGCAAGAGCCTTGGATGCTCTCCCTCACAGTCATTTCAGAAGCTGTTCCTGAATTATGTTTAATGTGATAAACAGGGAAAATATTGAATGCATGGAGAATAATTATGTTAAATGCATATCATTACATTTTGAACAACATGACAAAGACTCAATGCAGCGCTGAACCCAAAAGAAGAAATGTATTCCTGCTTATAGCTCATCTCATTTGCAGGGCAGAATAGAGGCTCTGGTTATTTTTTCTCTGCCTTCAGTTGAATTCCTCCTGAACAGAACAGGAATCAAGTGAGAGGTATTGCATATTTTCCAAAAGTAATTTCTGCTTGGAATATTTCCAGGCAGCATAATATAGGCAGAGGAGGCTTACTTGTCTCTGGGAAGTGTTCAATAGAGTTAACATATATCAAACTGGTAATCACAGCTTCTTCCAGCCTTCTTGAAGCCAAGAGGAAATTCTTTTGTCTTCTGCCAAATAGCGTTGTATTTTGCCAGTGATCTTATTGGAAAAAGACTGAAGTAAATGTGGATGCAGGAATTTCTCCCAAGCTTTCATGCAAGGTGGTGTCATATCCAAACACTTCTGAATGAAACAATAACTCCTACACTGTATGAAGAAGGGTAGGAATTGCTTTAAAAGGAGTCTCTTTGGAGCTAAGTTCTGTTCTGGAGACTTCATAAACTGTCTATTTAGTTTTTTTTACTACACTGTTTTGCCCCTTTTTCATTATCCACTATCTATTTCAGTTTTATTTTATGGAAGACTCTTAGGTGTCAACCAGCAGCAATGAAAATGGAGACTGGAAACAACACCAGAAGGATGTAGAGCAAGCAGTGGATATTCTTGTGGTGGAGGTGGCTGCTAGATAGATGGCAGACTCCACCTCCCCCCCCCCTTGCTCTCTGCTCTCCACCATCCATCTTTTTAGTTACCGTATTTTATGTATTTATTCTCATTGTATTTCTTCGTCATTGTTTGCTTCATTGTTCTATAATTCTATTTTTGTTTATGTGCCTTTTCATTTTTCTTCCTTTTTGTTATTGTAGATTGCCTAGAGAAATCCCATTCTAGGCAGCTAGTCCCACTTTGTTTATTTAACAAATATTTAAAAACATTTCCCCAATCTTTCTTACCCAGATCCAGTGTGCAGAGCCTGACTTGAAAGCATTAGAACAAAATGTTACAAATAAGGATAGATTGCAAAACATCTGGTGTCAGTGAAAAGGTGAATGAAGGTTCTTGCTAATTAGATCTGAGAATAGAGTAAACTCTGGTATGCAAATAGTGTTATTTTAAAAATTGTTTTTCTTATCAGATAGTTATAGCTTTATTTCATAAGCAATCCTTTAGTTCACTTTTACAGTTTAATAATATTTTCTTCTAAAATAAGTCATGACTTGAAAATACTGAAATGTAAGTTGAATAAAGTGCATGTTTTAATGTTAAATCTCCTGTGTTTCTAAGTATTTTGTGTTTTTTTCTTTTTTCTGTCATTTTTGCATCATGGTCTTTCTCACTATAAGTGGTCACCTTCCCCCAAAATTAATAATTGCAAAGTTAAGTCTGGGGCTATCAAAATCTCATAATACGTAGAAAAGGGGGCATAGGAATAGATGTGTGTAAGGGAAAGGGGGAAAGACTACTTAGTGGCCTTAACTGTCCCCAGGAGTTATCCTCAGAAGTGTTGAAATTCCATAAATATAAGATCATATTTGGGATCTTTTCCTAATTTTATCTACCCCACTCACCAGGGAGGGAGGCCAGGTATTTTACAGGTCTCCTTCATCAATGAAATTCCCCTAGTGGGACCAAGAAAAAGAGTTGTTTCTGTGCTTGTTTCCTCCTTGTGGAACATCATTCCCATGGAGATAAGATTCTTCCCCATCTTGTACTCTTCCAAAAGGTCCTGAAGATATGGTTTTGCCAACAGGATCCTGAGTTGACATGGAGCTGATCAAATGTGTTTGAATACTGTGCCAGGAGGGGTGGTAGTGTTGGATTTGTATTTGGGGTTTTATTTTTGTAAGCTACCCAGACTCATCACAAGTAAGTTAAATTTTAATAACAAATAATAATGTTTTAGATTAAAGTATGTATTAATAGAACAAGAAAGGTCAAAGTCGGGGCCCTGAAGTTGCCTGCTATGGCGGCTGCATCATTTGTTCCATGAAGGATACCATTAAAAGCATAGTAAAAGATATTAAGATAGATGAATTTCACGTTTTGGCCATTCATTTCATTTAAAATGGAACTGATAAAAACAAGAAAGGTGTTTCCCTCTTAATGTTTCAGGCACTTCTGAAGTGTATCAAACACTTCTGGTTGGATGCACCTTACCAAGTTCTTCCAAATGGAGATGCAGTTACCCCATTAAATGAAAGTAATTCCCTTTTTATAATTGACATCAGATGCAGTAGCTTCCTTCGTGCTTGGATGTTTTGGCTTCTTTCTGCTGGAGTGACAAGATTTGTTGCAAAGGAGTGTTGCTACAGAAGAAGGCTGGACTATGTAGGCTGTCATTGGAGGGGATCCCTGACATGCTCTAACTTCCAACTGCTAATATCCAATAGAAAATCAGGAATGGGCAAAGGAATCACAATTGCAAGAGGATATGGTTAACCCATTCAGTATCTTGATGAGCACTCTAAATCCTTATTCTGAGGTAAAGAGAGTTTGAGCACAAAACCAAGAGGTGAAGCCAGAAATACTTGTCCACCTACATGTCAGGCCAGAAAGCACAAGCTCCAATTCCCTAATCAGGTCTCTGAGCAGTGTAAGTTCACCAAGTGAACACACCAGTTCTAGTACTAGCTGTAGCCTCATTGTTTTAACAACTGTATTAGGAACAGTTGTCTCAAGATTTGCTTTGTTTTCATGATGCTTTCAGAAATCTAGAGGCAGAAAAGTAGATTATTTGGAAGAACTATGTCTCTCTCATTTGCAGACTTCCTGGATTTGCAGATACAGATGGCCTTTAATTTTTATGAAAAAATATCCAACAAGTTATTAAGGAAAGGAGGGATGGAAGAGCTGTGTTATATCTTCTGACTGGTAATGGTTGGTACCCCTGGTCTGATAGATCCTGTCAAGCCTCAACCATTGAAGGTGGCTAGGTGAATTTGAGCCAGTCACACTCTCACCCAACTTATTTTGCAGGGCTTTGGTTGTGGTGAAAAAAAATGGGAAAGAGCACTATGTATGTCCCATTGAGCCTTGTACAAAAGGAGGGATAAAAATCTAATGAATAAACAATGAAGCATTCAACTGATTAGTAATTTCAGAATAGCTCACTATTTGGCACACAGTTTTAGTCCCATTTTGTGCTTATTGCTGTTATGGTGAAGATCACTGGATGCTCTAAAGTTGAATATTGGAAAAGTTGTTCCTTCTGAATTAATTTCAAAATTCTGGGGTTACTTAGCAACTTAACTTAGGGTTACTTATTAATTTAAAAATCAAAAATATTATCTTGTTACTATTTTGACATTGAGGATGAAATCAATGACTCTTGTTCTTAGATTTTTTTCCATTAACATCTGAAACATCTGAAAAATAAATAGTAGGATTAAGATTAGGATTTGTACCCTCTGTGAAATTCTGTGAAGAAAGCAAAATAATGGTATTGAACAACAGAGAAGCTTTAATTTAATATGACACAAGAATTTGAAAAAAAAACATTTCAAGTTTTTGGGTGGGTGGGAAGGGAAGTAAAGGAAATTGCTAACTTAGACTTAGACTGTACACATACAGACAATCTCAACATGTAATTAATTTGAAACGTGGTAATTGGTTTTACTTACACTCAGAGTAAGGCTACATATTCTTGTCCATTAAAAATATAAATAGTATAAAAAATCAAATCACACAATTACAGTTTCAAATCCATGCAGGGTTCTAAATGTAGAATTTGATTATAATATGCAAATACTGGGATGGCTTTGTTAGAGAGTTTTTTTCCTCCAATTTTTCCCATTCAGCTTTGGAAGATTGCCCAAAGCAAAGAGATCATTCTCTTGATTGAGATGGTTGATGGTGACTTCATCTCATGCAGTAAAAGGTGTATTATCCAGGCTTAATGGAGAAAACTATTTATTGAGAGTAACTTTGGAAATATGCATCATACAGTTCTGCTTTAAACCTTTTCTAGTTGGGTGGTAACGTGTAACGTGTAATGTGTCAATAAGCATTTAAAAAGTGGAGAAGGGACAGATAGAAAGCAAAACTAAACACACTGTTTTCCAAGATTAAACTAAAAAAATTAAATCTGTAAAGGATGGAGAGGAGAACATCCTATGAGTTAAATAATTTTCTAATATAAGCTGTGAGGGAGCTCTTCACAATAAGGTAGAGATTTTTCATACTGCGACTTCACCACCTTATTCAGGCTCCAAACCTCAATCTATTTTTTTTTACTGATCTCTGAGATCATGCAGGAACCACCAGGAGTCATTTGGTATTCCCCCCCAGGAGACCAATAGGAGAATGCAAACTTCAGCATTCAGTTAAGCCCCATATCTGGAGTTGCTATAACTTCTATAGATATAAAAATCCTGTCATCTATATTCCATAAACAAATGAACGCATGCTACCTTCTTCCTATACACACTGGGAATGTACTGTGAGTCTTCCCAAAAGTGCTTTTTCAAAAGGCAACTGGGCATTCTTTGCTTTTTCTTGAAGACATTTTGCTTCTCATCCAAGAAGCTTCTTCAGTTTTGACTGAATGGATGACTGAGAATCTCCATAGATATTTACCGATTGTGAACATTTCTCTGTTTTATACAATATCTGGGTGATTGCTGCTAAAAGAAGAGCCTCCAAGCTCCAGAGTATTTTAGTTTTCAATACTCTGCGTAAACTGTGATATTAAAAGAGCAATATATGCGCCTCTTTGCAGCCGGGCCCTTTTGTCAGCAGCTATAACAATAATTACATATGGTGGCGGAGAGGGGGAGGTATATTTTAAAAAATGTCAATATGCAATTATTAGGATCAGGACACTTAAATTCTCTGCAGAGAGATAAGAATAGGGTAGAATAGATAGATATCCAGAGATGGGTGAAACAAGTGTTCCTACCAGTGGAAGAATTCACTGACCACAAATTCTGCAGAGCCACAACATTGCAAAGACAAGAAGAGCTTCCCGAGAGTATCACTGTGTCCACAAGTGACGTATGCCATGGCACTGCAATTCCAGTCCCATCCCTTAGTCTGATAGGTTGTAAGAATAATCTTGAGGAACAAGAGGAACATAAGCAAGACAGTGATCAGATAAATGACGTGTGTCCAAAGCATAAATGTAATTTGAAAAAGAACATCTCAGATTTGACCCACCCTAGATCTCTTGTAGATAAAGATAGGGAGTGAGGAGGAGTTTTCTGACTTACAAGATTCTGTTACTGTAACCCTGTAATAAAAATAGTTTAATATTCATAATTTTGGTTTCCTAACTCTGGTCTACCTCAAAGAACCAAGACTTAGATACGTACAAGCAACATTGTGATTGAAAGTATGAAAATACAAAGCTCGTTTTCCAACATTACTTTATATGTTTCATCATCTAGGCATCTTTGTGGCTAAGAAAGGACGCCTATGCTTCAGTGACAAAGGAAAAGTCACTTTGCATGTCCTTAAAAACAGTTTTATTTTAACAATACTTCTGATATTTTAAACGTGGAGTGAATATTGTATATTAGCTGGCTAATATAACATTTAAAAGTCACCAAATAATTACATAAATATATATGTGAGGATGGGTGGGTATATGTGTACAATCCTCAAAAATATTTTAAAATAAATGTGCACTCATCCATGAAGTCCCATAGACTTAAAATAAATTCTGAGCCAAACAATATTTTAAGCCAAAATTATATTTTTCACATTGCTAAAAGATATTCAGCCGCCATGATGTGTCCTTGACTACAAAGATACGGACAGTGCAAGCAAAGTTTTCCCTGTGACAGTCTGTGGAAGCAAAAGTTGGACTCTGAAGAAACAGGGTAGACAGAATACAGGTAGTCCTTGCCTTACGACCACAATTGAACCCAAAATGTTGGTTGTTAATTGAGAATTTGTTAAGTGAGTTTTGCCCCATTTTATGACCTTTCTTGCCACAGTTGTTAAGTGAATCACTGCAGTTGATAAGTTAGTCACACAGTGCTAAGTGAATCTGCTTTCCCATTGACTTTGTTTGGGAAACAAAGGTTCGCCGTAACTGTGAAAAATGGCCATAAGTCTCTTTTCTCAGTGCCGTTGTAACTTTGAACAACCACTAAATGGACTGTTGCAAGTCGAGGACTACCTGTATTCATGCAATTAAAGTTTGTCTCCTGAGGATACCAGACAGCCAAGCAATCAAAGAAATGAATCATTGAACAAATCAACCCAGAGTTCTCACGTGTGCCAGAAATGATAGATACAAATTAACCCAATTCATATACATTATGT